GTTTTTATGGAAAGTTTTCTTAACATTCTCGGAACAATTTGAGAACATTACTTTAAATAGAACCATGAGGAAACCTATAGGAAACGTTATGCTGAAGTACTGAAATTCCCACAGAAGAACATTGTTTCTTAAAGTTCAAGCAACTATCCTGCAACATTCCCAGAAAGTTGTGGGAAGGCTGAATGGAAAATAACAACTATGCTCTTACCAAGCTCTAATCAACATATGGTTCTCAGAACATGATATGCTAGCTGGGTAGTGTTATCTAGTGTGCACAATAAAAAGGCACATACACTTCCTGTCCTTGGTCTACTGTAAAAGCATCTGTTTGACCCCTGACCCCTGCTACTCTTTACCAGTTTCCTGTCCTACACGCGCAGGAAGAGACTACTGAAATCTGGGTTCATCAAAGCTGTTTCCCAAAGACATGAAGGACATGGAAACACCATATGAATGGATTGGGGAACTCCAGTGGCGGCATTGAGTCTCAACTGCTTGGTTTAGGACAATCAGATGATGAATAAAAAGTGACAGTTACAGTTAACTTGCCCCCTCCTCATTTGTAAACATAAAAAGAGATAACCTTGCACTCTTTTGCATGTGACAACTACAGCAATATGCTGCAGTGTTTTATGGCTGGTATATATAATTGCACTTTTGCTCATTTCAGACAGCATCACAATAGTAGTGATTCTCACTATTAAATCCCCCCCAAAAAAGTTTCGGATGTTGCATGTCAGATTAACCAATCAAGACAAAAAGAGTGTCGTAATAACATTGACCTGTGCCCTTGAACTCTAGATTCTCTCTGCACCCCTTCATGGACAGCGAGACAGTGGACTGAGAAGGGGTGACTGACTGGGATAACAGGAGAGGGAGACCCTCAGTCAACAAAAAGCTTTTGAGGAGCTTTAGGGCTCATTAAGCCAGACTGTAATCCCACAGACGGACACTGTCCACATATGGCCCTATGAGATCATCCCTCCACACCACCATACATATACATCCCTATAAAACACATATCACATCATGGAAATATGATGAGCAAGGGATTCATAACACAGGATCCTAATCTTTTAAAACATGAGTGTACCAGTATCAATGCCTTGATTTATTGGGATATACTTTGAGAAGGACATGTTGAGTGTCTGTATGGCTGGCTAGTTATAGTCATACCTCAGTGGTTATAGTGGGCTACACTGCTACAGTATGTCTGGGTCCCATAGGTTGGGTTGGTTCTAGGGTCATGTCTGGGTCATGTCTCGTCCTCCACAGATTAGCTAAGAGGCTATTCACTGGTCTTCTATTATGTTCCCTGTAGTCTGGGCCCCTGTCTGAATGTCCCTGTGGAGCAGGGTGGGGACAGGTTGAGAGCAGAAGGAGATATATTGTTTACCCCAGTAATCAGGAGAAAGGCCAAAAGGAAACAAAAGAAAAGCCATGGAAAAGCTTCCAATGACAGGCATCCTCTGATAGTTAGACACAATGATGGTGGCTCGGAGGAAAGAGAAAGAAATAGACTACATCGTCTGATCTGTAATTCATATCTTGTCTTTTGGCCATCTGTGAAAGACAAGATCCATCTCTCCTTTTCCTTGGGGTGTTGTAAATAAATCTTCTCCTTCATCTCCACGGAAGAGACTATCCACAGAGGCCCTAAAATGTATTCCGTTACAAAGGATCGGAAGTGTGTGGAGAGGAGACACCACGAAATGAAGAGCAGACATCTCAGGTCTGTGTTACCTTAAGTTACAGTGTATCTATGGCAGTGAGACAGCCACGTCAAAAAGTCAAAGAACATTCGAGGATGTTTTGATGCAAATTATGTTGAAGGGAAAGAGCGAGAAAATCGATGTTCTGCTTATTATGACTGTCTAGATCAGGGTTTCCCAAACTCGGTCCTGGGGCCCCCCTGGGTGCAAGTTTTGGTTTTTGCCCTAGCACTACACAGCTGATTCAAATAATCAAAGCTTGATGATGAGTTGGTTATTTGAATTAGCTGTGTAGAGCTAGGGCAAAAACCAAAACGTGCACCCAGGGGGGCCCCAGGACCAAGTTTGGGAAACCCCGGTCTAGATAAATGCATCAGAGCGAGGGAGAAGGCTGTCCTTATTGTTAGGCTGCTGCACATTTAACAGGCTCTGCACATCCATTAACGGGTGATGGGAAATAGTTGGGCGAGGCGTGTTGTGTGATTCCGCCGTCTTTGAGATGCAAATACCGCTCAGAGCTGAAAGACCCAGAGAAACAGGTGTCCAAGGAAGTGGCTAATGTGTGTATGGGAGGGTGGGGGGCTTGGGGAGTATATGGAGATCACATAACACTCTGTCCAGTCCTCTCTGGCTTTTCAGTTCTGCCATCACTCTCGTTTGCACCAAATATCCCACTATATTGAACGAGAAACAGACAAAACAGATTAGTCCAAGAGTATCGAATTGTATTCATATAAATGTGATTGGTTTGGTACAGATACAGCAAGTAGATACAGGGAGATGTAGTCTTATAAGCAAACAAAGAGAGAAAGGAGTGCTTTTACTATCTAATCATCACCCATATGGCCATGTGGAAAGTTGATAGCTAGATTATTCTGGTTCCTCCTAAATTTACCTACAATGAGACCAACACAAGGCCTAACACTTTAGCATTTAGGAGCCCACAATTCAAAATTCTTCATACAGATAAAGTTCCAGCAACAGAGAATCTCCCAAATGTCCCCCAAAGTGCTTAATCTATAACTGCTTCCCCATTAGTAGCCTATCCCCTATTCCCAAAGGTGGTCCAAGCTGGAAGAGATCCATCCACACTTAACATGGGTGTAGAAATATGTCCCAGGATCATTAGCATATTTGAATAGGATTGGACCTATGCTAGTTTCCTGTTCATCAAAGTTCAATGGCACCCGCTACTGTATACACAAGTATATGAAAAACTGCTGAAATCTCTCCACAGCTCATATATAGCTTTCTTATTTCACCTGGCTGCCAGTTCCTGTTGTTTTGAGAACACCATGTGAGAAGTGGATTGAGAGATGGAGGAAGACAATGTTGAGGCAGAGGGCTCGTAGAGAGGACGACTGGCTACTATTCTGAACTTTGTGTGGTGAGCTTTCTGGCGCCCACAGCTGCAAAGGCATCACCCAAGTGGGTGTTTCACAGAGTGGAAGAGGAGAAGTCCAGTGGCTATATGACACAGGCTGGTTCCCAGACTTGTACTCTACAAGATCATCAGCAGACTCAGTCACCATCCTGTGACCAGTTTCCTCCGGTCAAGCCATGAACTGACCCTCTCCATGTGCAGAGGATGTAGCTTTCAAAGACTTGGCCTATATTGGTTGACCAGTCATGATATATTGCTTGTTTGTTAGTTTTTTGCTTATGACTCTCTTTGAGATTTCTATTATGAAAAGTGCTATAGAAGTTTAATACATTATTATGGTGTGTCAGAGTGTTGGTTAAATGTGTGGCAGAGGTTACGTAGATATAGACGTCCCACAATATATAAACATGGGCAATTTTACAGAAGACAAACAAAATGTAAATTTTATTCTTAAAGAGCTTGACCAGGGACAAAGTGCTTCATCTTAGACAAATCTAAATCTATATTATATGAAGTTCTAAACTATACTTCATGCAAGTGTGAAAATCTATAGTAATTTTGACAGAAATAATCCTTTTACCATACATAAAACAGACAGTTATTTACCTTGTTATTTAATATAAATGGTCCCTTCAGAAACTTTCACTTCTGCAGTTCTAATCTGATCTAAAGGCAAATTTGACTAACACACATGTAATATTGACAATTACATATAAAGCAATTATGCACAGAGCTAATAAACAGGTATACACAAATAGCGTATACTTAGCTCATTACATAGACAAGGATTAATCAACATGGCAGAGTATGATATGAGTGTTCCATCGATTGGCATTCTCCCACTACATAACTACACACACTCACTGGTTCTGTTCCCTGGAGCTCTGCACAGAATAAACAACCCACACTAAGGAATTATTTAGACAGCATGGCTCTTACAACACATATACATGACAAACCATCAAATCAACAATCGTTGGTCTAGTGACAGGAATTGTCCAGCAAACGTTCATTTCCTTCATTAGAAACTATAAAGATGATATACAGATGATTGGTTTTTCCCTTGAGCCTGTAGTTCAAGTCCTTCATTGGTCAGGGCTGAACAATGGCCCCACAGAGCCCTCTAGTGTTCATCAACTACAACCAGAAAGAAAGGATGCACCAATGAGTGAATGACAATAGCATTTAGCTTTATACAATATGTTGGCAACCTATGTGATTCAAACCATATTCTATTGTGATTACAATTTAACTATTGACATTCCCTGTGACTGACTTAATCTAACAATGCAGGATTGGTGTGTGCTGGCAATGTATTGCCTCATACTACAGCATATATTAAGTGGAAGACGTAAACAGGCATAGTGCTCCAGCCTCCAGTAATGACCCTGGATCAGCTGGGACAGGGCAAGGACTCCTGGCTAAACAGACTTCATAGTTATGTCACCTGATCTTGAATCAGTCTAAAAAACATCATTAAATAAGAAAAGATTGAGATAATAAACTGATATGATTGATTGCAGCGGCAGGCTGTACAATCTACCCTCAGCCAAAGTGCCTGTATACCCGTATGGTCCACTGAACAAAGTGCTGCACTCTCCCAACTGATGATTAAATTGTCATCTCCCATACATGTGTGAAAAACAAAAGTCTACTTGGTCTACACTTGTAGTAGCCCCCAGGGCAATATGGAAGATGGCTTCCATTCTTATGGAGTGTTTTGCTATAGATGCATTTGGCTATAATGGAAAGAGTCAAGAGGATGGGGATGGGATGGGGGGGGGGGGGGGGGGGGGGGGGGGGGGGTGTTAGAGGTTAGAGGTTAAGTGTATTCTGGGGATCGGGAGTCAGTGAGCTGTAAATAGGTTTTGTAATCCCCGGCTGGTCCCAGCTCTTTCCATCTGCTACAGGTAAGTGTCATGTTCTGTGCTAATCAGACTCTGATTGGAGCCCTGCAGGGGTGTGTCTTTGAGGGGTGGGGAGGGCTCGGTAGAGGCGTCGCTGGGTTCAGGGTTGGCCGCCACCGGGGTCGGGGAGCTGTTCTTCTTCTTCCCCTTCTTCTCCTCTTTGGTCTTTTTCCTAGCTTTGTCCTCATCCTGGCCCTCCCCATTCTTATTGGTTGCCAGGGACGACTCAACTATGATGGTGGGGTTCTGTCTCAGGTCTTGGCGACTGGGTGGTTCAGCGGCCATGATAGCCTTGGCGCCGTGCATTCTTGGAGGGGACTTGCAGTGCAACTCACCCCGGGTCTCCTTCCAGTGCCGCAGCTGGGCCAGGTGCTCCTTCTCAATGTCCCGCTCTGACAATGGCAGCTCTATAATCTGGGACAGAGCAAAAGGGGTAGAGATTAACAACAGTGGTTAACATAGCAGTCTTAATAGCCTGTCAGCTTGACAAAGTAGTAGAAATCATAGAAAAAATGCTGTTTTATTAAAGTACCACTATGTGGCAGTAGGGTCTTTTTCAGTTTACACCATAGCCCTTAGCATGCAACATAGCCATGACACAGTCTCATCACATTCATGTCAGCTATTCTCAAAGTGGCTAAAAACCATGACACTGAGCATTTTCCAGTATGATGTTTCTGGTTCTATAATTCTGGCTGTGGATGGTGGTTGTGTACCTCCCGCACTAGGAATGCCTCCAGCATGTAGCGTGTGTCTATGGTCTTGAGCAGCTCCATGGTCTCATACTGGCCCTGACACATCTTCAGCTTGTCCTGGGAGCCCAGCATGCACTTCAACAGCACCAGGCCCACCCGGAAGATGATCTTCACTCCTGGATGACCGGACAACACCAGCCAAAACGGATTAAGTCTCAGTGTCCTGAGATAAGACTTGTCATTGTGTCAGTGTGTGGTATGACGTATTTGTGTGGGTATCTTTGTATCTTTGAATGTGTCTGTGATGATGAGTATGCTGGGGTGTGTGTGTGTCCATGTCAGTCTGTCTAAAGAGCATGCCTCGCCGAGAGTGCTCTCTGGTGGACAAAATTTACGTGTGTATGTTTACTGTGTGGAATCAGCATATTACATACATTGCATGTTACCCATGTCATACACATTGCACATGTCTCATATAGCCACTTACATTAAACATATTGCACACCACAGAGATCCTATTAAATGACAGATTATGTGTCTCACCCTCACAAAGGAACATGTCCCAGACACGTAGCACTGAGGCCCAGGGAAGGGTTCTGGAGAAGGCACACATGAACCACTCCGTCATGTACAGGATGGGGTCCATCTTGTGCTTCTTCAGGTGGCGGTGGGCCAGAGGAGACACACGCTTCAGCAGAGCAAAAAGGATCTCCCCATCCAGCTGGATCGCCTCCTACAGGAACAACCATCAGAAAGGAGAGGGAGAAAGAGACAAATGGAGGGGTCGAGAGGAAGGGAGGGGTGAGGGAGAGAGAGAGAGAACAGACGCCTTCCTCTTTTTAATGTTTCATTAACTGGCCCACATTGCCTGGTCACCTGCTCACTCAGGGCCATTTGTCATTAGCTGGTCACAGACAACAGGCTACAGGACATGCAATGACAGCAGCACATGCCAGCTAGAGAGCTGGTCCAATAATATGACCTGCCTGCCTGCATTCAACATGAGTGTCACCTAACATTGTCCAGCTTTTCTTTTCCATGACACTGCAGTTCCAGGCAATGATAAACATGCTGAATTAATGATTAACTGTATTTTAGTGACAGGTAAGCTCTTTAAGTTACTCTCTAGCTCTGCCCTTGGGAAAACCCAACAAACTGTATCCTGATCTTTAAACCCCAATATAAAACCTCTCCCTGTCACAACCAACAATCAGCGAATTCTCTTCAGCATGTGACCTTGGTTCCTTGTATTCTTTGTGTTAGAGGACCAGTGTGGTAGGTCTGTGGACAGTCTTACCAGCCCTGCACTGTAGTATCCAGGAAGGTACTTCTCACAAATCTGCACCAGACCCCAGAATGCATCCTGTTAATAAAGCAAAAAACATGAATTGAGCACGACTGTGGTGTATGCCACATTCCTGTACCGTGAGTAACAGAGTATTCAACATTTTTGTATACACATGGGATGGTGTGTATGTGGACTGACCTCAGCAGGCATGTGCATTAGCAGCACAGCAGCGATGGGAGCCTGAGCCTGGCAGTAACCCTCTTCAGGCCGGTGCAGTGTGTAGGCCTTCAGGACACGGTACAGGTCCTGCTGCCTACACACGCACACAATTCGGTTACGAAAACAAACATGTACTGAGAAGTAGCCATGGGTCCACGCCAAAAGAGCTACTCACCCATGGCCTCCTCTTGCCACAAACATCTCATGGAAGGGGAACTGTCTGTGGAGGTCCCGCTCGATCACATCCACCCACTTAGGGTCTCCTGCCTGGCTGTCCAGCTCCTTAAAAACACACAGTCCCCCGAATTCACATGCTTTATGTGTAAAAGTACAAGAGTGTGTATGAATGAGTGTGTAGCGGTGGTGGTTAGTGACCGACCTCGAACTTGCCCTTGTGCTGCTCCCTCTTCACCTTTCCTCCTGACAAGTAGAGCCACGCCCGGCCTCGCAGAGAGGGGGGGATGCCCTTCTGACAGCGCAGCTTCATCTGGGGGTAGTGAGTTAGCGCTAGTGTCACAACCACTCATCATAATCATGCACGGTGAGACTAGTTTAAAAATCATGGGAATTCCATCAGTGGAATAGATTGAATGTCAAGGTAGGTTGTTCAAGTATGTGTTCAATTACTTTCCTTCCATATTTTCTGGTCACTCAATAATAGTAGGGGTGGCACATGACAGCTTGCAAGGTTAACGTGCTTTCTATAAAGAAAGCTGTTATCGTCAGCAATGGGATTTCGGTAGCCTATCAGCCAGTGATGCGCAGCTGATGTTTGAGTTACTGACCTTCTTGTGTCTCTTGGCCATCCATTTGTCCCAGTTGTTGAGCATGTCCAGCCATTTGGCCTCCCTCTGTCTCAGCACCTCAGGAGGAATGTCTTCAGCTCTGTGGGAGTCAGGGACAGACAGACGGTTACTCTGTAGCTACACACCTGTCTCTCTAAACAAACACTCAGGGATGTATTACTTGAGGCATTTCTTTTTACCTTTATTTAACTAGGCAAGTCAGTTAAGAACAAATTCTTATTTACAATGATGGCCTATACCGGCCAAACCCGGATGACGCTGGGCCAATTGTGCGCCACCCTATGGGACTCCCAAACACGGCCGGTTGTGATACAGCCTGGAATCGAACCAGGGGGTCTGTAGTGACGCCTCAAGCACTGAGATGCAGTGCCTTAGACCGCTGCGCCACTCGGGAGCCCATGACAAGCAAAGGCTGTCAACACAGACACCAGTGAAACGAGAGGCGAGTGAGGGAAGGAGGGAGGGCCGAGGGCCAAACAGGAAGAGCCATCCCTCACACAGGAAGTTGTCTTGGAGGAAAACAGAAATACAAGCTGCTTCCTGTAGCTTCTGAAAATCATTCACCAGAGGAGCGTACATTCTTTTTCTTACAGAAACAACTCTTTCGCTAGAAAACTTGAGCCATTTGATCGTTGTGTCCATTGAAACCAGAACGGAAATGCAAGAAATGATAAGAGACAAGGACAATAGCTGCCATTGTTTTGCCTCTCCAGATGAAAACAAGAGAGAGAGAGCTGACAACATAGTTCTGGAGGACTGCTGGGCTTGGGCTCCTTCCCTTGGTAGAAGGGCAGTGGATGAAGGCGAGGGCGGTTCAAAGGGGCCCTAAAGAGGCTGCGTGTGTTTCAGTGTCTCTCAGAGAAAGAGCATCTTTATTGCATCCAGCTGACAGACACACCCAGTACACTGGACCGACTGTGGTCAAATTACCAAGGGGGATGCAGAGAGGAGGTGTGAACACGCAACACCATGACACGCTTTATTTTTAGCCTAGCCTTTTTCTCAGGGATGAATGAATGAAACTAGGTTGTCTGTTGTAGGCTACACGAATGACTGTGAATTTTGTGCGTACTTACAATATTATAGTCATATTCTCATTAAATCATCTCTGTGTGGCAATAAAATAAGGCTTAGTTAATTAATTTATATTGATACAGCCTAACTGATTAAACTGCATAGTTTTGATCTGTAAAGTTTAAATAGAGTATAGACTTGCACTTCACGATATATCGTCAATGTCAAATATCACAATACAATCATATATCGGCCCAACCCTATTCTGAGCACACACTCTCAAATACAAAACACCATACAAACAGAGCAGTGTGCTGGGATGTGGCATTCTTTTCATCACATCCTGGCACTCTTGGGGGAAGGAGCAGGGCAGCGGCTGATCCCTTCCTACTCCTCATACTCCTCACAGGAAATCCATCCTCAGACAAAACAGTGGGACACTTGCCACAACCTGCGAAGCACACAAAAAACAGGAAGTTCTAATAGAACTTCCCCTTACTTCTGTTACCTCCCCAGTCCTACTCTTGCTCAGCAACCGCTCACTGGGAGCCTAAACACTGGAGAGAAATGCACATCACAATAGGCTGTAAACAGACGAGTTAGAAGGCGTTTGTTCAGAACAAGTGGTGACACATCAGGCCGGTATTCTGTTTTGCTGAGAATCAGCGGTTCATGTTGCACTCAGTGGCAAAAAGCCATAAGTGTAGAAAATACATGACTATGAGTCAAAAGCACTTAACAAGGCAGCAGTACCCGGCCTAACATACCACATCGGTAAGCAAAATGAGGGAAAAACAATGCCATACAACACAAAGGCTGTCAAGTGACCATGGCAGCAGTAAACAACTTAAAAACAACAAACTAACCTAAGCGGTTTTAGACAGTCAATCCCAGAACTAGAGGCTATATTGTGCTCTTGCTTTTTACAATGGAGAAAACCTTGTCGTCATACCATGTAGGCTAATCCACAAAACATCTCATTTCTGGAACTGATTATTCAAGGTACTGCAGGACTTCCAGAATCTTCACGGACTCCCCTTGTGTGAGGAGTGGATAGCAGCGAAAGGGTCCACTGATAATTATCTGTTGGAATGTCATAAACGTCTCAATTTGTAACAGTACAGACAACAATGACTTGGCTGAGACGGAGTCTCACAAAAAAATTTAATGGCCAATGAATTAAACCAAAGCACCCAGGTCTACTATAGTCTATAAACAACTAGCCCATCCTAAGTGTTGATGGTTCAATACAATAGCAGCATGCCAATGGGCAATTCCAAGGTAACAGAATCCCTTAAAATGTATGCCAAACAAAAACCATTGATTTCAACGTTTAACAAACCATACAACTGTATGCAAAAGGCCTAATTTTTAAAATGTACACTGAACATTGTACAAAAACACATTTACTGAAGAACTGTGCAGATGCAAAGTTTGGTAACAGAATTTCAGTAAAATCTCCCTTCATTTTTTTTATGCGTCCATGTTTTCCAAAAACTATGCTAAATATCTGCTACGAATTAAGATGCAACGATGTCTGCAGAAAGAATGGGGTGTCAGCTATGACATGACACCTTGAGTTTGAAAAAATCTATTTTGGTTGTTGAACTACAGCAAGTGAAGTGGATTTACACCAGGTAACAGAATTACGGTAACAGAATTTCATCATGGGTCCCTGATCTGTACAACACAGACATGCATCATTATGGATATGAAAGTCATTCTCTTCATGGTGATGTATCCTGAATAGGTACACAAAGATAGAAATATGCAATATCCTCCTTTGCATATATGGGTATTATTCTACACACTGCACTGTCCAAACTTGTGAAACATAGACATCTATGATTGGTTCAGATTTGGTCCGGACCAAAAATCTATGTCTATAGACGTTGAAATCAAGGCCCACATTTTTTGGTCCGTGGACATTGAAATCAAGGCTGAAATCAAATTTCAACTACTTTTCAATGTCCATGGACACCAGTGTTGGTTCGGTGCTCAGTTGGTGCGGATGCTGGTTACTGTTAATGGAAGAGAGGGGGCTCATGGGTAGGTGTCAGTAAGAGCCGGGAGAGGTCACATTAACCGGAGAAAGAGAAGCAAGACGCAGAGAGAGAAGCGAGATGCAGAGAGAGAACGAGGGAGGGGTTGTCCAGACTGTTTTCATACTCTCGCTTAGACCACCAGACAACAGAAAGAGAAAAAAAACAGTTATGAGCTTAACATAACAGAATGCAAGTGGAAGGGATTGTAATTATGTTACTGATTTGGTAACAGAATTACAAGTTTTAATCACTTAACAATTCATAGGTTAGGGCTGGGTGATATCAAATTAATTTGATTAATTCAAATATGTTTTTGTGCGATATTCCAAATGCCTGTATCGCAAGAATCTAGGTTTTGTTAATTTTCGTTTTTATGAGCATTTATGTTTGCTTGTTCTCATGTTGTATTTTTGGTCTCGTCTCATTCGCTCCTGTGTGCACCTTCCCATTTATAACAGAGATCTGTATATAATGACGAGATGCTCATGTCTCTGCCCTAACAATGAGAGTCGTTGTCCCAAAGGCGGGAAGGCAGACGACAAGCTTAGGTCCAAAATAAGCCCATAGAAACGCACGCCTTATTTTGGACAGATTTTAGCAAGAGTGAAACCTCTCGATTCGCCTCTTCCTCTATGGTTTACACACACAAAGCCCCTCCCCCTCACGCCAACAAAGTTGAGAGATCACATCTTTCTCTCTGACAAGCAGTTTCAACTCTGTATTTGCATTTGAGGTTTGGTCCAACAGAATCGGTCATATGGACACTAAAACACATTGACTGTAATAGAGGAGAAGTTAACTTTTCTAACGATACATTTTTTATGTCTCAACTACTCAAGTTGCGCGCAGAGCAGACACTACTAAAATGAGAGTATCAATGAACATTGATTCTGGAAAATGAATGCTCAGTTTGTCACGCGCAGCATTGGGGTACCACATACTGTTAGCAGCATTTTTGCCAAATACTGTTATTCTAGATGTCTAGTCTGTGTTTTATAAAATATCCAATAAGCATAAAACACAATTATATAAGGAATGTTTCATTCTGAGAAATAAGAAGGCACTTGATTTCAACATATGAACAAAATGGACAGGCTAACATGCTTTTCAAACATTTGGAGACAGACAGAAGGGTGTGTTCATAACAATTCAACTGTTCAACCTTGTTAGCTAGCAGATAGATCAAAGTTGGCCAAACTTGAAATATAAAGATTAGCTGGCTAATCACTAGCACCTGGGCTTGAGAGATTATTGATGAGACCTGTGTTAATTTTCTATAGCCTAATGCAGGGATCATCAACTAGATTCAGCCGCGGGCCGATTTTTTCTTGAGCAGATGGTCGGGGGGCTGGAACATAACTACAAATAATTTGTAGACTGCAATTTGACCGAATCCCAAACAGATCATTTCAAACCTTGCTTACGTTTGTATACGATCACGTCTCTCTATTATGTGTGGGAATACTTGGGAACAGATTTCCAAAATGTAAATCTCTTTTGGAGCTGATTTCCTGGTATTTTTACAGTATTTTATGTCCAACAATGAAAATTCTATACTGAACAAAAATATAAACGCAACTTGTAAAGTGTTGGTCCCATGTTTCATGAGTTAAAATAAAAGATCCCTGAAATGTTCCATACGCACAAAAAGCTTATTTCGCTCAAATTTTGTGCACAAATTTGTTTACATCGCTGTTAGTGAGCATTTCTCCTTTGCCAAGATAACCCATCCACCCGACAGGTTTGGCATATCAAGAAGCTTATTAAACAGCATGATAATTACACAGGTGCACCTTGTGCTAGGGCCAATAAAAGGCCACACTAAAATGTGCAGTTTTGTCACACACCACAATGTCACAGATGTTTCAAGTTGAGGGAGCGTGCAATTGGCATGCTGACTGCAGGAATGTCCCCCAGAGCTGTTGCCAGATAATGTTAATTTCTCTACCATAACCCACCTCCAATGTCATTTGAAAGAATTTGGCAGTACGTCCAACCGATCTCACAACCGCAGACCACATGTACCACGCCAGCCCAGGAACTCCACATCCTGCTTCTTCAGCTGCGGGATGGTCTGAGACCAGCCACCCGGACAGCTGATGAAACTGAAGAGTTGGTCATTAGTGAATGTGCATTACGCATGGTTCTAGTTACATTTGTAACAAAAAAGGGCATTTTCAAAGACAGACTTGAAAGCCAGATCAGTGATTACCGCAATCAAAAAGCAGGTTCAACTATTTTGATAAAATAATTAAGTTATTAGTGGGTGTTATGGTTGTGGAAGGCTTAGATTTAGCCTAGGTATAACTTCACAAGCCCTGAATTCATTAGATTATTGCTGACTGTTTGAAATGCTGTTTATTTGACCTTTAATTTTACAACGCTTATTTAGAGAAAATATTTATTTATTTTAAAACTCAATTTATGTTATTGATGGTTTTTGCGACTGCACTTGAGGAAACTTTCAAAGTTCTTGCTACGTATTGACTGACCTTCATGTCTTAAAGTAAAGTAATGATGGACTGTGGTTTCTCTTTGCTTATTTGAGCTGTTCTTGCCATAATATGGACTTGGTCTTTTACCAAATAGGACCATCTTCTGTATAACCCCCTACCTTGTGACAACACAACTGATTGGCATTAAGAAGGATAGAAATTCCACAAATTAACTTTTAAGAAGGCACACCTGTTAATTGAAATGCATTCCAGGTGACTAGCTCATGAAGCTGGTTGAGAGAATGCCAAGCGTGTGCAAAGCTGTCATCAAGGCAAAGGGTGGCTATTTGAAGAATCTCAAATATAAAATATATTTTGATTTGTATAACACTTTTTTGGTTACTACATGATTCCATATGTGTTATTTCATAGTTTTGATGTCTTCACTATTATTCTACAATGTATAGAAAATAAAAAATGAAGAAAAACCCTTGAATGAGTAGGTGTCCAAACTTTTGACTGGTAGTGTATATATAAATAAGACAGATGGCTCATTCATCACAAAACCCTCTGATATTGCCAACTACTGTCTGCTTGCATAACATTGTTGAAGATAACACATAACACGCACATTCGCATTGTCTCAAGAGATGCTGAAAGGAAATAATATTTCTCCACTTCTGTTCCCGAGACAAAACTAACATTTGTTCTATAATTCTACTGCAAGAAATGCATAGTTCAGCAGGAGTTAATATTATATAACGCTATATGTGAGCGGTTATAGGCCTACAGTCAGTGTCCATTTTCAGTTACTATTCCATTTAACCCTTATGAATTTAAATTATGAATATTCTGTTTATTCATGGTTACAGGGATACTCTGAGCGGGATATCAAAGGTGCATGTAAACAACTTATCCCGAATAAGACCTTAAGCGGGATTTGAGCTATTACCCAGAATACTGTGCGCATATAAACGTGGTCAATCTCTCCTGGCTCAACATAGAGGAGAGATTGACTGCATCACTACTTGTCTTTGAGAGAGGTATTGATAGCACCAAACTGTCTTTTCAAACAGCTAACACACAGATCAGACACCCATACATACCGCACAAGACATGCCACCATGGGTCTCTTCACAGTCCCCAAGTCCAGAACAGACTCTGGGAAACGCAAAGTACTACATAGAGCCATGCCTACATGGAACTCTTCCGCGTCAAGTAATTCAAGCGAGCAGTAAAATCGCATTAAAAAAACGGATAAAACAACAACGCGGACTGTGAGGACACACACACACACATTGTGATGTTCTGGTATTGTGGATTTTATATTGTAAATGTTTAATATTAGAGTAATAATAATGTATTGTATGATGCATTGTTTTATTTATTATCTAGGCTGTTGTGTTTTGCGGTGATGTAACTGTTTTAACCCTGTTTAGACCCCGGGAAGAGTAGCTGCTGAGAGGGTGGAAAGATAGGAAGAGGGTTGATACACCAAGGGACCGTGGGAGAACTGCGGGTCCTATTGCTATCAGTTACTCTGAGTGATGCTAGAGGCTTACATGATAGAGGCTTTCTCATCCATCTTGTCTGACCAGACACTCTGTCCACAGCTTCCTCAAGAGGTTCACAGAGCAGCAAACTAAACCTGCTAAGGGTGGGGTAGGGGGTCATTCTGGACAGGGCATGTGTTACTAAAGGCTAGCAAGGGACTCTCTTCTGAGTGTAAGACAGAGCGAGAGAGGAATAACTGTTTCTGTTAACCTCCAAGTCCTCCTGTGTGGCTCAGTTGGTAGAGCATGGCGCTTGCAACGCCAGGGTTGTGGGTTCGATTCCCACGGGGGACAAGCATGAAAAAGTACCAAAATGTATGCACTCTACTGTAAGTCGCTCTGGATACGAGCGTCTGCTAAATGACTCAAAATGTAAAATGTAAGGATGACACTGTCTTTGGTGGAGAGCATCCACTGGAGTTATATCGCAAACAACAGGCTACTGATTCAAATGTGAATTGCATATTAGAAAATAACAAACAGTAAAGTGGTATGTGAAGACAGATGGGGTCAACCAGGTGACTAATCTGGAAGGAAGATGCACTTTGACAATTTTGTCAGCCACAAACAGAGCTTGGCTACCTCATTTCTGATGGAAAATTATAAACAGATGGGTCTTACTTACGATTGTTCTGAATATTGTTGTGCACCCCCAATAAATCCATATTTATCCGTCTGTCTCTCGCTGGTATAGCCATTTAGTTCTGAGTCCGAACCGAAAGAGTTGACTTCTCCATCTGTCAGTGCCAGGCTTTCTCTGGTGTCCCGCAAACTTTTGGTGGACTCTGCTGACTGAAGTCCATTACCTGGCTCAATTCTAATTCTTGCCATTTAAACCGCTCTCTCTAACTTAGCTTCTTCTTCTAATATCATTAGTTAAGTAAACCTCCGGTTATTTAATTGTAAGTCAAACACTTCAGTGAAAACCTTAACTACTGTCTGAAGCGAAGTTGTTTTGGTCGTCCACACGTCATTACCGAACATAACGTTAGCATCGTCGCAGTAAATCAGAGCGACATAGCTAGCTAACTAGTCTAAATCTAAAACCACCATCTCGACTAGCTAACGTTGGTTAGTAAACCAACCAATTAACGTTAACGAAAACTAAAATGGAAAGTTATAATCAATGAATGACAACTGGTTAGCTAGCTAAAGAAGCTAGCTGGCTAGGTTAGCATTAACGTTAGCTAACCGCTAGCAGTGAGAAACATGCCACTATTTGTCAACAACACCACCACAAATCAGAACAACACAAAAAGCAGTCTACTTCTACCATTAGCTAGAAAGCAAGATGGTGTTGTTGAACGACTGGTCAGCCAGATAAAACCATTGAATTCCAATGTGAATCAACCTCTCACCGGCAATGACTAACTCTCAAAGGCCTAGACTCAAGCGGACTGATTAGACTGAGACACTGCTAGCGTCAGCTGACTGTCAGTTCAGCAAAGACCACGTTCCAGGTCGTTTATTTATAAACTGAGTGGTTCGAGCCCTGAATGCTGATTGGCTGACAGCCGTGGTATGTCAGACCGTATACCACGGGTATGACAAAACATTTTATTTTATTGCTCTAATTACCTTGGTAACCAGTTTATAATAGCAGTAAGGCACCTTGGGAGTTTGTGGTAAGAACAGTCCTTAGCCGTGGTATATTGGCCACATACCACACCCCTCTCAGGTGTGATTGCTTAATATATATATATATATATATATATATATATATACAGTACCAGTCAAAAGTTTGGACACACCTACTCATTCCAGGGTTTGTCTTATTTTTTATTTTATTTTACAATTTTCTACATTGTAGAAAAATAGTGAAGACATCAAAACTATGAAATAACACATATGGAATCATGTAGTAACCAAAAAAGTGTTATACAAATCAAAATATATTTTATATTTGAGATTCTTCAAATAGCCACCCTTTGCCTTGATGACAGCTTTGCACACTCTTGGCATTCTCTCAACCAGCTTCACCTGGAATGCTTTTCCAACAGTCTTGAAGGAGTTCCCACATATGCTGAGCACTTGTTGGCTGCTTTTCCTTTCATCTGTCGTCCGACTCATCCCAAACCATTTCAATTGGGTTGAGGTCAGGGGAATGTGGAGGCCAGGTCATCTGATGCAGCACTCCATCACTCTCCTTCTTGGTCAAATGGCCCTTACACAGCCTGGAGGTGTGTTGGGTCATTGTCCTGTTGAAAAACAAATGATAGTCCCACTAAGCCCAAACCAGATGGGATGGCGTATCGCTGCAGAATGCTGTGGTAGCCATGCTGGTTAAGTGTGCCTTGAATTCTAAATAAATCACAGACAGTGTCACCAGGAAAGCACCCCCACACCATAACACCTCCTCCACCATGCTTTACGGTGGGAAATACACATGCAAAGATCATCCGTTCCTCCACACCGTATCTCACAAAGACATGGCGGTTGGAACCCAAAATCTCAAATTCGGAATCCAGACCAAAGGACACATTTCCACCGGTCTGATGTCCATTGCTCGTGTTTCTTGGCCCAAGCAGGTCTCTTCTTCTTATTGGTGTCCTTTAGTAGTGGTTTCTTTGCAGCAATTCGACCATGAAGGCCTGATTCAAACAGTCTCCTCTGAACAGTTGATGTTGAAATGTGTCTGTGACTTGAACTCTGTGATGCATTTATTTGGGCTGCAATTTCTGAGGCTGTTAACTCTAATGAACCTATCCCCTGCAGCAGAGGTAACTCTGGGTCTTCCATTCCTGTGGCGGTCCTCATGAGAGCCAGTTTCATCATTGCGCTTGATGGTTTTTGCGACTGCACTTGAAGAAACTTTCAAAGTTCTTGATATTTTCCGTATTGACTGACCTTCATGTCTTAAAGTAATGATGGACTGTTGTTTCTCTTTGCTTACTTGAGCTGTTCTTGCCATAATATGGACTTGGTCTTTTACCAAATAGGGCTATCTTCTGTATACCCCCCCTACCTTGTCACAACACAACTGATTTGCTCAAACGCATTAAGAAGGAAATAAATTTCACAAAGTAACTTTTAAGAAGGCACACCTGTTAATTGAAATGCATTCCAGGTGACTACCTCATTAAGCTGGTTGAGATAATGCCAAGAGTGTGCAAAGCTGTCATCAAAGCAAAGGGTGGCTATTTGAAGAATCTCAAATATAAAATATATTTTGCTTTGTTTAACACTTTTTTGGTTACTACATGATTCCATATGTGTTATTTCATAGTTGTGATGTCTTCACTATTATTCTACAATGTAAAAAATTGTAAAAAATAAAGAAAAACCCTTGAATGAATAGGTGTGTCCAAACTTTTGACTGGTAGTGTATATGACAAAGATTGGATACGTTTAGTTCTCGGAAACCACATCAATATGGTATAGACATATTTTATATGTGTTCATATCATATGAATGTGGTTCCAGACAAGCCAAATACTTGTCCAGGTCTTGTGAGATCTTCTGCGCAGCACGACTACAACAAAGATGACCTGGAACGCGCCCATAAATCTCTGGCGTTTGGTTTTAATGTCTATGGCTGTTGTCAGCAAATAGTGTTAGTTGATATTTGTCGCCACCTATTGATGCATTTAGCTAACATGTCCCAAATTACTGCTCCATGAGCTGAAAGTGAATGTCTCTTTTTCAGTGGCTATAATGAATTTTGAGTGCACTGAGGTATTGATTCCACAGAAATTGAATGATAACACTTTAACTCAATGGATGATTCTCAAAATGATGGTCTGGCCTCAATCCTTCCAAAATGACTGGTGCAGGTGATAGGGGATACTGTCACTGTCAACAGACTGTTTGCTGTTAACAGTCTTGACGTTGTCCTACCATGAGGGCCACAAGTGGCTCAGAGAACATGTGGGGTTGTGGGGGACCATATTAACCTCTTCTGTGCAAGTGCAAATAGCGGACCTTATTCATATCAAGGCCCTCTGGGGAAAATATGGGAGAAACCTTTACGGTTAATGTTTGAACAATTGTCTTGGATAATGCCTAATAGGAATAGAAGATTATAATGAAAATGCATTTTATTCATAAATAAAACTACTCATAAATAGACAAATAATAATAGCTAATAATAAATTACAGTGCTCAGGGCTTTTTGGCTGGAAACACCACTAATCATCCTGGTCACTGTCCCAGTCATGATTACACACATCTCACTTATGAGATTGCCTCTAATTTGAGATGTCTGTGTCTTTGGTAGTGTGAATGGGCCTATGTGTGGAGGAGAGAAAACCCGAGTTGACCCCAGTCAGTCACCTGTGTGTGGCACCATGGCACTGGCACAAATACAATAGGTTGCCTAGTACATGCCGGTCTCGTGGTTTCAGGGCACTCCTTTCACACTCTGCCTCCACTGGTCTGTGAAGAGCTCAGATCACAATACAAATCACATTTAGCATTGTTCATCATGTGGGTGGATATGAAAATTGGTTTGGCATCTGTATTCAACACAGTTCAAGGGAACAAACTCTAACGTGTGGGAAAAGAGAGAGAGGAAGATGAACTGAGAAAGAGATTAAAGACTGAATGAGATACAATGACAAGGTGGAAATAGGATTATAAAAAAGGGATGTGCAAGACAATGACAGAGAGAGGGATAGACAGAAAGAGAGGACTGACTGGAGTTCTCTAGAGAATGATTTAGAGTGTTATACATTCACCCATTGGGGTAGATATCCGTCCCCTCCCTTCGGCATCCTTCCATCTCCTTTTCCCTCTCGTTCTCACCCTCATGTTCAGTCACATGCTGCTGCAGAAGCTCACAAATAAAGAATCACACGCTTTGCCTCACACCCACAATGCTCATTCACGTATTTGCACAAAGTTAGCTGTATGTGGGAAATACACAGGAATTGTATTATCTTTTGTCATAACAGGGTCCAATCTGTTACATTCAGAACTCTAGAATTCTGGTGGATTCTCAAAGATGGGGAAAGCTCTGTAAGACCTGAGGGGAATTGAGGTCAGCCTTATTTGCAATAATTCTGAGGGTTTTTCTCTGCCTTAATCCCCTGGTTGGTTGGGCACATAATTGCAAGAAAAACACAAACAAGAAACAAAAATAAAATGGTGACTAATCCGGACCAGTGGCTTTGGGTTTCGATAAGCCGTCTTCCACGTGAGGGGAGATCGTCACACAGATGAGGGTCAGGTTAGCTCTTTCATTATGCCAACGTCCTTTGATGAATGCTTGGGAGGCATTCAAGAGCATTGCAAGGGGTTGACTGACAGTCATGCGATCCCTGATGGGTTGAGAAGGGGACCAGCATTTGACCATGACTGTAAGGCAAACTAATCAAGTAGCTTCCCATCAAGACAGGTGAAAAATAGCCCAGCTTTATAGAGTTGACCTCAACAGGGGAAGATCATCTGCAAGCTAGGTAATGTTTCACACTGCTAGTGAAATTTGTCACAGGCAATGCCATCACAGGGAAGGCTGCAATCAACAGCCGTGCAGAAGGAGTCCTTTTTAATGACGGTTTCATATAGTAACACAGGGGGAAAGCAATACTGTATAAAAACTAGGTATTAAATGATAAAAGATAAATGCGATCTTGAGATGGATGGATGAAATTCCGGTTTTAGCCTTTACTCAATGCATAGCCAGAAAAACTCAGAGGCATGTATCTTAGTATAAATACTATATTCTTTATTTAAATATTTTGCAACTTTGAAAACATATTTACAGAAACTAGTCCTGCATTATTACACTGTACACACACGTGTAGCTTTCATACTCACAAGCATTGCTTAGAGAACAACACACAGACCTTGTCTTGACGTCAGAAGCACCATTGAAAAACTGTCATGAGAGTGGATAGAAAGAGGTACTTAATTGACATTGAGCAACATACAAGTCCAGACGAGACACGCTTGCATTGCCAGACAAGGCCTCTCGATAAGATGGTACAGATCTATTTGTTAAGGCGGAATCGGTGCTCACCATTATCAATAAAAAGCACTTCAACCTGCCCCGCCCTTCCCGCTTCAGCACATTTAATATATAGTGTCCTTAAACCATAGAGGTTTACTTTTCGTCTCAAAATCAGATCAGGTAATAGTATAATTATTCATTAACACAGTGCACCATCACTGACTGTCAGAAAGATAACTGGAAATATGAGAATGACCAATGTGTGAATAAAATTAACGTTTGTGCATGTTTAAGTGATTGAAGGACAACCTTTAAATCAAGGGGAGCTGATCAGACAGACATTTGGAGGCGAGGCAAGCTGTGAGTGACATGGCCACCTTTGCAGGTAAGCAAATTCCAGTAGTTCAAATAGCTGGGACAAAGACAGCTTGTCATGCAAAGACAGAATGCATAGGACACATGATATTCATGAAATGAAGTCTTAAAGGCTACAGAAAATTAACTTAAACCAAATTGAAATAGTATTTACTACACAAACATACATTTAATTGTACCCATTGATCTTGCCTGTATGATTGCTTGATGTTCTTTTAAATTATTTTTATGCTAAACTAAGCAAGATGATAAATACAGTGACAACTTCACTGGTCTCCATTACACTATGTTAGCCTGACTGTAGGGTTTTGATTAGAAGCTGTAGCCTGGTCATGCTTGTGAAGTTATGGCTTTCCTTCTTTGGTTTCTTTAAGGATTCAAAAGCCTGCATTGTACTTTGTTTCTCACAGACTACCTGTCACATATAACTAGAGCCACAAATACGATCAAACTCCTGTTCTGGTCACATTGCATTTTAGGCACAAATAAAAAGACACCTTAGTGGTCTTCTGACTGTTTTGCACCGAAAACACGACTGGCCAGCATTCACCACAAGCAAAATGACGGTTTACCTGTCAAACCGATTGACAGATATGCTCTCAATGTGAAAATACAGAGACATTTTATGTTACAGTATTGGTGCATGTTTTACTCCAAACCCAAATGAAAGCAAGGGGGGAAAGATAGTGAATACTCCTCTTTGGTGCACTGGCTTCATAATCATAACAGAGCAAACATTGGCTAACAATGAAGACAGGTGTGTGTATTATGCTATTATGCAGAAGAACCAACAGCATGCCAAGACCAGTACAGGATGATCAACTTCCATCTTTTATGAAAGAATGAAATGGCGCACACACCCGTCGCATAAATAATGTACAGTCTTAAACACATTGAAATTACAAAATAAAAGCAGCAAGTAAATCGTTATTGGGAGACAGAACAAATCTAGAAAAAATACAAATTTAGAGATGACACACCCACCACACAAAGACTACATATGATTCTTGCTGAGTAGTAAGATGGCATGATTCTTATTTGCCATCCATGGAGCTAAATACAGCTTCACAAAAGAATCACACGGTGAATTCATATGTTGGATGATACATTTCAAACATCACATCATGGCTCTCAAACTAATAACATTAAGGTTATAAAAATAAATCTTTTTTAAATAATTCATACCTGACCTATTGTTTCGGTTGAAAGCATTCCCAGATGCTAGCATTAGCTTTGCAAGTTAACACGTATCAACAACAAAGACATTCAAACAAGAACCTACACCCACTTAGCGCGCACGCACACACACACACAACACGTTGACAAAGACATGCCACGCTGTCATAGTTCTGACACACTACTACCGAGTCAAACATGTCCATACCATGGCCATGTCAACGTCTTGGTTCTTTCAAGCCATGGAAGGGAGGGATTGAGAATATTTACTTCAAGGTTCAAACCTTTATAGATTGTGAATGCTTGTGTGTACACATCTGTCACAAAGCAAAATAATCATCCTTTGCATCCTTATCAGTGTCAAAGTGAAGACACTCTCTGCCTTGTTACACAACATTTATAAACCCATGAGGCTGTGTGCACTGACAGATCTTTTCACTAACCTCAATGTGGTGACATTTCAGACTAGCCTATAGGTGGCACTCTGGAGACGTCTCTGCTAGAGGAGCTAGTAAATGGTACTGGCCAGCTACCCCTTCATACTAGTCCAAGACACTAACACCAAACTCATACTGTATCTACATCCTTATCACAAGTCACTACCCTCTCTAAAACCCACAATAACCCAGTCTTAATATTCAGCCACACACATAGAAGACTTAGAACAGATAGTCACACAGCTACAACATTTACATTTACATTTAAGTCATTTAGCAGACGCTCTTATCCAGAGCGACTTACAGTTAGTGAGTGCATACATTTTTCATACTGGCCCCCCGTGGGAAACGAACCCACAAACCTGGCGTTGCAAGCGCCATGCTCTACCAACTGAGCTACATGAGGCCTTTACAACACAGACACTCAAATTGCATAGGCAACACAACCACATCTCCCTAACAACCCCAAACCATGGCTTACTTTACTTATAATAACACTGCTTGTTTCAGGGCGACCGAGCCAAAAGCAGGAGGGACCCGATAGCTCAGTTGGTAGTAGTAGTCCCGTGTAGCTCAGTTGGTAGAGCATGGCGTTTGCAACGCCAGGGTTGTGGGTTCGATTCCCACGGGCGGCCAGTATGAAAATGTGTGCACTCACTAAAAAACTGTAAGTCGCTCTGGATAAGAGCGTCTGCTAAAATGACTAAAATGTAAAGCAAACTCCCTTTGGTCGCAGTCCCAATGAAGTGATGTTTTCAAATAAGATATGGGAGAATGGGAAGGAAGCAACGTGCTGTTCTGCACCGTCTGCATTACGATTAACACGATAAAGTCCAAGCTGCCTGCCTGCCTCTCACTAATATAGTACCAAAACATAATTGAAGAATACAGATAGAGCTCAATTCTGTGGTGAGGAGTTTGTGTTCTATATTGTGGCAGAGAGATGGGAAGGTCAGTGAGGGGATGTGGGGGAGGTGCCGCAGTGCATTTGAGAAGGAGGCAGGTGGAAGACTTGGATGGAGGGAAGGAAGTAAACAGTTCCAATAAGCATCACACACACTTAGTCTGTGTATTCTGCCACTATGGACAGCAGCACCGTGATGTCATCAGGTTTCCCCCCTGCAGGACAAGACAAAAGAGAACGTGTTAATTGGATTTCCAGAGTTCAAAGTCAACTTTGAATGACCCAATCTGCAAGCTGACGGAGGGCATAAAAATACAGTGGAGCTGGAGGTGTTATTAGGGACATAAAGGTCTTCCTAAGAACCCAATACGTACCTCTTACATTCAGGCCATTGTCACAGGCAAACTGAGCGAAAGGGGACATGTAGTTGGGGTCATAGGCCAGTTCGTGGGCTTGCTTTGCAATGCTCTGTGCCGTCTGCTGGATGCTGTCATAGTTGGCGCTCTGAGAAATACAAGCGTTAGCATTAGGACGAAGAAATGTGTGCAGGTATTTACCAAGGTGAATGTGTAGATTTAAGTGTGTGTACAAGCAGTTAGGAGGTACTGTGATGTGGTACCTTGAGCTTTTTGAGCTCTTGCAGGATCATGTAGTCGGGCATGTTGTCGAAGAGGCCATCCGAGGCGGTCAGGATGATGTCACCCAGCTGGACATCGAAGGAGGAGCTATCAGCGGCCTCAGGGCTGGGGAGGAGAACACAGGACAGCACTGTCAATCAGGGCCTGCCAGAGGGCACCAGAGAGCTGCTACCAGGTAGACAGTACTAGTGCTCCTCACAAACATGATCAGGAGGAATCAGGTCAAAAGGTGACTGTGCCTCAGAGGGATATGATGGCTGGGTAATAAGACAGCCGATTCCTCCTGGCACACAGTGCAGCCTGCCCTGCTCCAGCCCCACCCACCAGGCCCAGCATGATCTCTGGCTCCTAGCCAGGGTAGGGGAGCCGGCCGTAACCCTCTGCCCTTGATTCCGCCAAGACTGTTCTTTTATTCTAACCCGTCTCAGTTGGTATCAATGAGGACAGTTTGAGTCAACAGGCTTCCTGGAAAAGTCTAAGTGACTCAATGACGTGAAAAAGGAATTCTACAAGATGGCACTTCTTCAGTCAGATAGATATCTCCTCCCGAAATAATAGTTTTACCTTAGGGTAATTCTATGGTAATGGATTTATGCTGAGGCTTTAAAATGGATACTAAACAAAACCTTGATTTCAAAGTTTAACAAACCATAGAACTCTATGCACAAGGACTGCTTGTAACAATTTTCACAAAAAAATGCACAGAAACACATTTACAGGAAGAATTGTGCAGATACAAAGTAGAAATCAAGTTTTTTTTGCAATTCTGTTACCGTGGTATTTCCCCGTATTAAACCTCCTCCATGCCAGAAAGACAGAGAGCAAATGTGAACATGTGAATGTGTGTGAGTTTGCTGAGCGGTACATATGCATGGAACCATAAATGGCGACATTGTATAAGTGTGCGTGTTAATGCGATCGTTATATGAGAGCCTGAAGGTCTTGCAGTGAGGACTGCAATATAAAACAATAAATGTCTCATTTAAATTTGGAGAGAGAAAAAGAACAAGCCCAGCGGAAAGGGGTCTGCTACTGGCCTCTCTGTGTGCTACTGGCCTCTCTGTGTGCTACTGGCCTCTCTGTGTGCTACTGGCCTCTCTGTGTGCGCGCGTCTGGCACGGGCCCAGGCACTACACACTGTTGGCAGAACAGCTGAAGTGAGGGGTTGGTTGCTGTCACATGGCCCCTCAATAGAAAAGAGGGAAGGAAAATATACCCTGCCAGCACCTAGCAGCTCAAGTGGTCTCCAGGCCAGGCTGAAAATGGCTTGAGGGCTATTGGTGGGGGGGCTGTTGTTTGGCCTAAACTAGCTAACGAGGGCACAGTGTCACATGGCTGTGATGTAGCCAATAATACAGTCCCACAACGAGGACAAAGCTTATTCTTTATCTAGCCAACGTTCCTTTTAAATCCTTCTGTGAACTGAGGAGGAGAAAGAAAATTCTAGATACGATTTTATTTAACCTTATTTCCAATGACAACCTGTCATTTGCTCCAGGTGTATCGTCTAAAGCTGAGGTATCAAACTCATTTTACCCCATGAGGTGCAATCGGTCTTCGACGAGGTCCGGGGGGCCACACTGAAAATATGTTATATTTCCTCGCTGTCAAAATTAGCAAGAAATAGTCCAACTTTCCGATGCTCCCCGACTGTCTAGCTTTCATTTAGGTGATAGTTAGCAAGCTGGACACGGTCAAGAAACGGAATAAATGTAGGCCCATTAAACATTTCTACACAGTTTTGATTTGGTGTTAGTCATTTTAAAGTTCATGGCGGGGCCATAAAGCCAGTTCTCTCAATATGAATGGTAATTTGAGACCAGGTGGAGGGTCAGAGAAGTGAAGGTGGTGGAGGGGACTGACCTGTCACTGAGTACCACTCCCTCTGCCCCTGGGGGAGCAATGGACAGCTGGAAAGGGGTGTTGAAGTAGTGCTGCTGTTCGTCTGAGCGGTGCACCACCTCTCCCCCTCGCACCACCAGGAAACCAGAGTCCCCTAGATTACACGTGTGCAGTTGATGGCTCTGTCGGTCCAGGACCACGATACATGCTGTGCTGCTCCCTGGGGAAGTGGAGAGGGGAGAAGAGAGTGAGAGAGGGAATATAACAACATATGGTGGTTAGCTATCACCTGATATCCATTTCTCCTTGTGTTAAAAACTGTGTTGTTACCACTACAGCAGGGAGGGGGTGTGTGAGATCACATGTTGGACCAGTCAATCTGGCACATACTAAAAACAAATGCCATGTCCTTCCCCTGTCCCCACTCTGCAGCTCCTACTCTACCACTGACCTTCAGAAGGGACGGTCAAGCACAGAACTAGGCTTTAATTGCTGTCACACGATCCCAAAATAAGAAGTGGGTCACTTTTGATAGACAAACATCGTGTGACTTGGTGGATCGTAGTGTCTCTCAGTGCAGGCAGCCTTGCCTGTGGTGTTGGGTCTCAGTTGAAATGTGGCCTCAGTCTGTCACGTTTTTACACGCCAGTGCCGTAAAAAAAAGAACGTGTGGACCCGTAAGCAGTGTCAGTTACTGCTCCTTCCACTGACCTTTTAGGCGCTCTGGAATGGGGTGAAATGGTAACTGAGGAGGGGGGAGCGGGGGCTAAAGACTTGGTCAGGTGTTTGTCCCAATGACCTCTGTGGAATTGGACCTTGGAACTGGGTGGTGGCAGACTGAAGGACGGCACCATTTCAGCTACATAATTAATAGGGAGGAAAGCTTTGTATAATGATATTTTTGGATGGAGTGACTGAGTGCAGCTCAGTGGGCAGGGATACCCAGGCAACAGCACACACAGTCTCTGACTCATGCTGCAGATATGTTATTTACCAGAGCACAATGCATGTGTTAGCTTGAGTGTGTGTGTGTGTGTGGTGTGTGTATTACTCACCCGGCCTGTCCTGTCCCCCCACATGCATTATACTGTGTGTGTGCGAGTGAGTGAGTGACAAAGAGAGAGAGAATGTAGTATGTGTACTCACCAAGCAGGGGTACTTTGTTCTGTAGGAGCTCATAGTAGCCAGAGGTGAGGATGCCCACAGGGCTGCTGGGTGTGAAGCGGCCCTCCTTCACCAGTCGCTCACACGTCCTCATCAGGGTGGCAGAGAACTGGGACGGGTCCACCCCGTAGTCCCTCCATCCACCTACACCATCCGCCACACCTGAGACACAGAGAAAAAGACAAGTGTATAAGTAGTTGGCGCTCTGAGGTACTGTTCTCCGTCAGATGGGCTCGGTCTGCTGCTCAATAACAATATAAAAACAAAACCTTCAGTCTTTGTGGAGCTGACTCAGTCAGAGGAGAGAGAGGGTGAGAATAATATTTCACAAAGTTTCACTCTTTCTTTGCAGTGCTGCAGGGTGAAAGACCTTCGGTAAAAGGAGGGAGAGAGGGCAGAGAAGAAGAGAGAAGCCATGAACACACTGCAGACCTCTATAAGCTTCCCCCTCTACCTCCCTCTCTCCTTCACAGAGAGCCTAGTGCCAGAGCACAGGTTTCCAGGAAAAAAAGACATCCATCCAACTACTCCATACAAACAGACACACATAAATGCAAGACTCCACAGTCGGGGCCCATACAAGGAGAGCCCCCTCTGCTAGCTAAGCAACGCTGTTTGTTGGTGCCTAAAACACAAAAACACACACTTTCATTTACTGAACAAAAATATAAACGCAACATTTAAAAAAAGTGTTGGTCCCATGTTTCATGAGCTGAAATAAAAAATCCCAGATATTTTCCACAGACAAAAAGCTTTTTTTCCTCTCATATTTTGTGCACAAATGTGTTTACATCCCTGTTAGTGAGCATTTCTCCTTTGCCAAGATAATTAATCTACCTCACAGGTGTGGCATGTCAAGAATCTGATTAAACAGCATGATCATTACACAGGTGCACCTTGTACTGGGTACAATAAAAGGCCACTAAAATATGCAGTTTTGTCACACAACACAATGCCACAGATGTCTCAAGTTTTGAAGGAGCATGCAATTGGCATGCTGACTGCAGGAATGTCCACCAGAGCTGTTGCCAGATAATTTTATGTTAATTTCTCTACCATAAGCCGCCTCCAAAGTCGTTTTAGAGAATTTGGCAGTACGTCCAACCGGCCTCAAAAACGCAGACCACGTGTACGGCGTCGTGTGAACGAGTGATTTGCTGATGTCAAGGTTGTGAACAGAGTGCCCCATAGTGGCGGTGGGGTTATGGTATGGGCAGGCATAAACTACGGACAACGAACACAATTGCATTTTATTGATGTCAATTTGAATGCACAAAAATACAGTGATGAGATCCTGAGGCAAAACTTTTTTGGGGGTATCTGTGACCAACAGATGCATATCTGTATTCCCAGTCATGTAAAATCAATAGATTAGGGCCTACTGAATTTATTTCAAATGACTGATTTCCTCATATGAACTAACTCCCGTGTAGCTCAGTTGATAAAGCATGGTGTGTTTGCAACGCCAGGGTTGTGGGTTCGATTCCCACGGGGGGCCAGTATAAAAAATGTATGCACTCACTAACTGTAAGTCGCTCTGGATAAGAGCGTCTGCTAAATGACTAAAATGTAAAATCAATGAAATTGTTGCGTTTATATTTTGGTTCAGTATTTAATAATTTCTCTGAACATTACCAGATTCACAGGGAATATATTATACACTGCTCAAAAAAATAAAGGGAACACTTAAACAACACAATGTAACTCCAAGTCAATCACACTTCTGTGAAATCAAACTGTCCACTTAGGAAGCAACACTGATTGACAATACATTTCACATGCTGTTGTGCAAATGGAATAGACAACAGGTGGAAATGATAGGCAATTAGCAAGACACCCCCAATAAAGGACTGGTTTTGCAGGTGGTGACCACAGACCACTTCTCAGTTCCTATGCTTCCTGGCTGATGTTTTGGTCACTTTTGAATGCTGCCGGTGCTTTCACTCTAGTGGTAGCATGAGACGGAGTCTACAACCCACACAAGTGGCTCAGGTAGTGCAGCTCATCCAGGATGGCACATCAATGCGAGCTGTGGCAAGAAGGTTTGCTGTGTCTGTCAGCGTAGTGTCCAGAGCATGGAGGCGCTACCAGGAGGCAGGCCAGTACATCAGGAGACGTGGAGGAGGCCGTAGGAGGGCAACAACCCAGCAGCAGGACTGCTACCTCCACCTTTGTGCAAGGAGGAGCAGGAGGAGCACTGCCAGAGCCCTGCAAAATGACCTCCAGCAGGCCACAAATGTGCATGTGTCTGCTCAAACAGTCAGAAACAGACTCCATGAGGGTGGTATGAGGGCCCGATGTCCACAGGTGGGGGTTGTGCTTACAGCCCAACAACGTGCAGGACGTTTTTGACATTTGCCAGAGAACACCAAGATTGGCAAATTCGCCACTGGCGCCCTGTGTTCTTCACAGATGAAAGCAGGTTCACACTGAGCACATGTGACAGAGTCTGGAGACGCCGTGGAGAACGTTCTGCTGCCTGCAACATCCTCCAGCATGACCGGTTTGGCAGTGGGTCAGTCATGGTGTGGGGTGGCATTTCTTTGGGGGGCCGCACAGCCCTCCATGTGCTCGCCAGAGGTAGCCTGACTGCCATTAGGTACCGAGATGAGATCCTCAGACCCCTTGTGAGACCATATGCTGGTGCGGTTGGCCCTGGGTTCCTCCTAATGCAAGACAATGCTAGACCTCATGTGGCTGGAGTGTGTCAGCAGTTCCTGCAAGAGGAAGGCATTGATGCTATGGACTGGCCCGCCCGTTCCCCAGACCTGAATCCAATTGAGCACATCTGGGACATCATGTCTCGCTCCATCCACCAACGCCACGTTGCACCACAGACTGTCCAGGAGTTGGCGGATGCTTTAGTCCAGGTCTGGATCCCTCAGGAGACCATCCGCCACCTCATCAGGAGCATGCCCAGGCGTTGTAGGGAGATCATACAGGCACGTGGAGGCCACACACATTACTGAGCCTCATTTTGACTTGTTTTAAGGACATTACATCAACGTTGGATCAGCCTGTAGTGTGGTTTTCCACTTACATTTTGAGGGTGACTCCAAATCCAGACCTCCATGGGTTGATAAATTTGATTTCCATTGATCATTTGTGTGTGATTTTGTTGTCAGCACATTCAACTATGTAAAGAAAAAAGTATTTAATAAGATTATTTCATTCATTCAGATCTAGGATGTGTTATTTTAGTGTTCCCTTTATTTTTTTGAGCAGTGTAGTATGGAGAAGCAATACACCCTGCCACAGCTTCATAATACAGATAACTGATTCTGTACACTGGTTGTTGGGATGGGATTGGCATGGGGGTTTGGGAGGGGGGGGTCCGTGGGTGGCTTTTGACCATTTTTGATTCCTCATGTGTTACTCATTGGTAAATTTGGTCCAAATTGGATGTTGGGTACTACATTTATTGAATGTTATCTAAATCCTATAAATTAAAATGGCCAATTTGGGTGCAAACAATTAGCTAGCTTAAAGGCAAATGTCACCACTGCTCTTTCACTTTATATGTCAGTTAATATGTTATTTACATATAATGTGTCATAAAAATCGAGGATTTCCTTACTACACACAAACACACGCATTTCTGCATCTCACCGGTAGAAACGGGCCATCTATAATTCCTGGTTGTAAGCAAACCACAATATTCCGAATTCACAACTATTTCAGGACGTAGTACCGCCCCGGTCGAGGTGGATCCAGTTGAGAATGGGTGTCAACAGATAGCTAATGTTACTCACTGGACCAGCCACTTGTTCATAGAACATCAGCTTGCTAAGAGCTATTTATTTTTGTGTCGACAACAACTGTAAAGTTTAGTAATGGTGTGATGCTCAGTACCTGGATGTGGAAACTACAAGCAAGCACAGGCTGCTGGTAACATTTAATCAGTTACCTTACTAAGAAGTCGAGTAGAGGTAACGTAGCTAGCTAGCTAACATAACTAGATAGCGAACTACATTTGTTTATCTAAACCAAAATCTAGCTAGCTTTCATAATACACTGGCTAGACATTCCAAAGCAAATCAATGTAAATAGCCAGCTGCTATCTGGCAATGTGATTTGTAACTTTGCAAGCTAACGTTAGCTACGTTAGCTAACAATTAGATACGGTAGGCTGTAGCTAACTAACTACTGCAGAGAATAACGTGACAGAGTCCGATCCAATCAACATCAAGCTCAGCACCAGGAACTAGTGTAAGTCACCTTGACTCTATGATTAGCAAATAAATATACTGGAGCTAGGCATAAACATGATCTGTGTCTTGTGGCCTAGTTGGTGTGTTTATAAGTAGGCCACAACTTCTACTGTAGTTGTATCTGTATTTGGGAGGCTTAGTTGATTGTTTATGCAAAGTTTGAAGTCTAAATTGGAGAAAAGCAGAGTTATTAGTAAGGAGGAAATGGTGTGGGTGACCGACTGGTGTCTGTTTGGGGGGGTGTATTGTGTGTGTGAAGGTTAGTATGCATGATCTATTGACACGAGGGGGATGGGTGGATATAGTACTGTACCTTCTTTGAGTGTATATTGATGGGGACAGTAGTAAAATATTGTCATACAGACTAATCCTGCTGCTGATGATAATGACCTTGACACCAGCTTTAGTAGTACAGATCATGTAGACCCATTGGATGAAGGCTTTCAGCCGGGAACAAGCTCAACATCATCTGACCCGGAAGAGGTTAAAAAAAACTGCAAGAGCCAAAGTGTATAGTCTATGAGTCCAAGGTCATGGAGCTCATGAAGTTCTGCCAGACCAGCTGCCATTGCCCAACACAAGACAAAGTTCACCAGCTGAAGAACATTCAGGACCCTGCCTGGAACATTCAACCAACACAACATCCAGTTAGACTGATGTTGTAGTACAATATAGAATGACTAGTATGATCACAACTGCATTGAATTATAGATATTGTTCGCTCTTTCACATATGTATATATAATAGAGTTTAATAAAATGTTTTACATAATATTTTTTACAAGTGTACTGACAAGTGACTAAATGATTCCAGCTGAATCAGAAACCAACAAAGTGTTGACTTCAACTTCTGGATCAATTCATTGTAATATTAATGAAATGTATTTGGAAGTAATTAGCTACAATCGTACTGCTAAAACAAAAGATGCAGGGAGTTGGTATATCATTTCAATTTCATTTGTTGGCAAGTAAATATGTTCCAATAAAACAGCAGATTAGTCAGTCAATGTAGCAAATAAGTAGACATGGCTTGTATTCAAGACAAAGTTTATATATTTTTTACATTTTAGTCATTTAGGAGACGCTCTTATCCAAAGCGACTTACAGTTAATGAGTGCATACATTTTTAATACTGGCCCCTCGTGGGAAATGAACCCACAACCCTGGTGTTGCAAGCGCCATGCTCTACCGACTGAGCTACAGGACAGCCAATATGCGCTGAGACCGAGGTGAGTTTAAACAGCAGTATGCAGGAACAGTTATGGCAATGTAGGACATATATACAGTAGAAGAAAAATATACTACTAACGCTTATAATAAATACTACAGTTCTACAAAGGGAATACTTGCATATGGTGTGTTTGGGGGGTGCAGTGATGTGTTCGGAGTGAAGAGGATACTTTGATACAAGGGAAGATTCCTATGGGACCTTTCACATCTTCTCGAGTCAACTTCTTTGTATCCAACATTCTGTCCATTGTGTGAGGGATAATTTGCTCAAATGGCCCCAACAACACAAGCAGGAAAGGGGATTCGGTGTCCTCTGCCTAGCTTCTCCCCACGTAGAAGAAACTAAAAAATAATCTGTAGGCCACAAAGCGGTATTGTCTGTAAGAGAATGACAAAACGCTATTAGATCATGGGCAATCGTTGTGTACTGTCTGTATTCCTACTGTCGCAGCACGATGCTGAATATTACACACCTCCAGACACACGTTAGCTAGCTAGCTACAACACACAGGTATAGTTACGCAAAGACTAACATGAGTCATAAATCCAAAGTCATTCCTTTACTCTTCGTCATTATGATCAATCATCAAAACATTTCTTCAGTTTTGCTCCTAGTGAAATGCACTGAGGCTAGCTAGCTAACATTAGCTAGCTATCTATAACGTTAGGCTACAGTACATTTTGGGTATAGTAAACAAAGCTAACTAGCTCAACTTGGCTAGTAGTGGTCCTAGCAAGCCCCATTATGGCCGAATCAATCACAAACGTATACTGTACAACACTGCCTTGTGTAAAAAGAGAGCTTATATTGCTAGCTAACTATCGACAGCAAAACAACGTATTCTTTTGTCATTTGCCTTCCTGGTCCAGCTGGTCTAGGCTACCGATGCCAGTTGAACTTGTAGGTTCTGATAAACATCTCCAGCACCCCTCTATCCATATGTGCGTCGAACCTTTGATAGTCTCTCACACACACACACAATCCATGGGGTCTGCAGTGACTAGGGCTGTTACGATGACCGTATTACCGCCACACCGGCAGTCAGGAGTCATGAACGCAGTCAAATTCCATGTGACCATTGAGTCACGGTAACTAGGCTTCTCCAAAACTGTGCTCTAATGCCTCTGATGGTCATTAGTAGACTACCAAACTTGCTAACGGCCCGTCGCTAATGGCCAGTACTCAGCGCTCTATTGTCCCTCTAATCACTCTGACATCAATGCAAATCAAATCAAAAACTTAATGAGAGCCCTGGCATTCGGAGTTTGAGCGGAATAGGATCATCTATTGCACAGCGACAGCCAACTCCTCATAGCTAGTTGATGCATGGAATAAAGTAAGTGTTCCTGTGGCGCAACATTTTTATAGGCTATGCAATTGCATGAGAAAACAGTTTTGATGGCCTCTATTAAAAAGAGGATCCCGTCAGCTTTCTATATTTATTTCTCAACTTTCCATACAGTGCGTGTCGGAAAGTATTCAGACCTTGACTTTTTCAAAATTTTGTTACGTTACAGGTTTATTCTAAAATGGATTAAATACAACATTTCTCATCAATCTACACACAATAGCCCATAATGACAAAGTGAAAACAGGTTTAGACATTTTTGCTAAAAATAAACAAAAAACTGAAATACCTTATTTACATAAGTATTCAGACCCTTTGCTATGAGACTCAAAATTGAGCTCAGGTGCATCCTGTTTCCATTGATCATCCTTGAGATGTTTCTACAACTTGGAGTCCATCTGTGGTGAATTGAATTGATTAGATATGATTTGGAAAGGCACACACCTGTCTATATAAGGTCCCACAGTTTGACAGTGCATGTAGCAAAAACCAAGCCATGAGGTCGAAGGATTTGTCCGTAGAGCGCCGAGACAGGATTGTGTCGAGGCACAGGTCTGGGGAAAGGTACCAAAAAATGTCTGCAGCATTGAAGGTCCCCAAGAACACAGTGGCCTCAATCATTCTTAAATGGAAGAAGTTTGGAACCACCAAGACTCTTCCTAGAGCTGGCCGCACGGCCAAACTGAGCAATCGGGGGAGAAGGGCCTTGGTCAGGGAGGTGACCAAGAACCCAATGGTCACTCTGACAGAGCTCCAGAGTTCCTCTGTGGAGATGGGAGAACCTTCCAGAAGGACAACCATCTCTGCAGCACTACACCAAATCAGGCCTTTATGGTAGAATGGCCAAACGGAAGCCACTCCTCAGTAAAATGCACATGGTAGAGTGGAGTGCTGCGGAGATGGTTGTCCTTCTGGGATGTTCTCCCATCTCCACAGAGGAACTCTGGAGCTCTGTCAGAGTGACCATCGGGTTTTAATTTTTTTATATATTTGCAAAAATTTCAAAAATCCTGTTTTTGCTTTGTCATTATTGGGTATTGTGTGTAGATTGATGAGAAAAAAAATGATTTAATCAATTTGAGAATAAGGCTGTAACGTAACAAAATGTGGAAAAAGTCAAAGGATCTGAATATGTTCCGAACACCATGTCGGAATATCTTTGAGTCAAGTCCAATGGCTATATTGAACAAGGACAACAATATCTACTCAGTACTAGAGTGATCGTGCAATTGGCGAAACAAAGGCCACAATAATTGCCTACAAATCATGACTCCATTCATTTTTTAAAATCAGACAGCAGGCTCAAATCAACCAATGATGTTTTGGTTGAACTCTCCCAGCGCAAAAATAAAAACGATACCACTGTGGTGCATAATTATGTCTGAAACACTTCTCATCACTCATAATTATGTAGGGAGACTGGAAAAACACCCCAAATAGTGTCTAGTGGTGAAGTTTCCCTTTCATTTCTCAGAGAAAATTATATTTCCACAAAATAATGTTTCAGGAATGCTGTTTCTAAATACAGAAACGATTTCAGAACAATCTAAGTTGGTGGGTGTCAAAATCCTCTTTTGTGCTTTTTGAGGTGGAATGACCCTATAGCACCCAAGTGGGACACTATATACATAAGCCCAGAGCAGGCCCTCTCTGTGGGTGTTTGACCCCGTCTCCTGTCTTCATGACCAGTTAATTAGCCACAGAGAAAAGCAGCTCAGCCCCTGACCTGATGTGGCCCGTCATGAGTAATCAGTAGACCTGAATATGAGCATCCCTGTATTTCCCTAAACACGAGCAGACTAGAGCTATCCATCTCTATGTAAAAACTCCCAACAATGTCATCATGAAATAGACACAATGAGCATGCTGAACAGCTCTGTTGCAGTAATGTTTCTGATCCAAGGTTCCCGCTGGTAGAGGCAGGCAGGCCGTAGCTTACACTAGACATCCAACCATTTAATTTTAGTTCGGCATGACCTGTTGCAATGAC